GTAAAAAACCAAAATGGTAATATGGATAATGGTAAAAAAAACAAGGTAATATGGATAATGGTAAAAAAAACCAAAATGGTAATATGGATAATGGTAAAAAACCAAAATGGTAATATGGATAATGGTAAAAAAAACAAGGTAATATGGATAATGGTAAAAAAAAAAAAAAATGGTAATACAGATAATGGTAAAAAACCAAAATGGTAATATGAATAATGGTAAAAAAAACAAAATGGTAATATGGATAATGGTAAAAAACCAAAATGGTAATATGAATAATGGTAAAAATAAAAAAAAGTAACATGGATAATGGTAAAAAAAACAAAATGGTAATATGAATAATGGTAAAAATAAAAAAAAGTAACATGGATAATGGTAAAAAAAACAAAATGGTAATATGGATAATGTTAAAAATAAAAAAAAGTAACATGGATAATGGTAAAAAAACCAAAATGGTAATATGAATAATGTTAAAAATAAAAAAAAGTAACATGGATAATGGTAAAAAAACCAAAATGGTAATATGAATAATGTTAAAAATAAAAAAAAAGTAACATGGATAATGGTAAAAAACCAAAATGGCAATATAGAAATACCACTGTTAAAATAGTGCTCTATACATCAATTGTAGAGCAATATAGAAATAACACTGTTAAAATAGTGCTCTATACATCAATTGTAGAGTGATATAGAAATACCACTGTTATAATAGTGCTCAATACATCAATTGTAGAGCGATATAGAAATACCACTGTTAAAATAGTGCTCTATACATCAATTGTAGAGTGATATAGAAATATCACTGTTAAAATAGTGCTCAATACAACAATTGTAAAGTGATATAGAAATACCACTGTTAAAATAGTGCTCAATACATCAATTGTAGAGTGATATAGAAATATCACTGTTAAAATAGTGCTCAATACATCAATTGTAGAGTAATATAGATATATCACTGTTAAAATAGTACTCAATACATCAATTGTAGAGTGATATAGATATATCACTGTTAAAATAGTGCTCGATACATCAATTGTAGAGTGATATAGATACATCAATTGTAGAGTAATATAGAT